TAACTGTATTTGTGTATACCTGAATAAACTTACTTCTATTCTGTCGACTGAGTACAAGAAACCACCCATTCATCTATTTCAACTACCCAATGAAGTGGTCAGAAATTGGCAATTTGGACAATCTCACACAAATTTCAAAAGATGCCAGTTTCAAAATAGGGTCCAGAATAAACAATGCAGACATTCCTGGCACTAAAACAACATTTTCTAGGTTCATTAGTCATGGCTCCAGGCCCCTCTTATATTACTCTTGCTTACCATTTGGAATTTTTATTCACACAAAAAAAAAAAAATAATAGAAGATTTACTGTTATGCAGACTACTGCATTATTGTAATAATTGTATTAATAATGTCAACCCATTCGTGACTGCGTATGAGACTGGCCAGGTGGACATGTATTGGACAGTGACGTCATTGGTTTACTCTTGAACATCGGCAAAAATCGAACATTTTCACTACTTGAGCTCAATTTCAAGGTACTTTTCGTCATGAAACTAATCAAATTCATATCTATTTCTGTAATATATCTTCCATTCTATCAAATGAGACCAGAAGACCGAGAACACAACCATAAAAACCATACGAAAATATGCCGCTAAGGGGCGGCTAATGGCTGAGAAGTGAACTCCGTTATTTGTGGTCCGATTTCTTTCAATTTTGGTGTACAGTAACCCTTTCAGGGTTGGTGCCGTACTAGTACGGCTTGCACACCAGGGTTGGTACCATACTAGTACGCGTAAATTCTAGCGGCTTAAAATTCGGGGACCCAGTGGTGCATTGTGGGAACACCATTTTAGTACACCTTGCTCACCATGCCTCGCGGTAAGAAACTCCTCGCTCCTCGGCGAATTGGGACACTTTTGTTCCCCAGTGGCAGTTCTAATGCAGATGGAAGTGTAAGTGAAGATGACTTTCAAGGTTTTGATGAGGTTGTGACTGAAACTAATGATCATAATACCGGTAATAGTGAGGAGAACCCAGACGACCCTCAACCTTCTACCTCTGGTGCTGGGCCGTCTTGTTCACATTCAGTTGTACCAGAACGAAAGAGGAAACTCTTATTTTCCCATATCCAGGACTCAGATGTGAGCAATGGTGATGATAGTGATAGTGAATATGAACCCCAAGCTCTTGAAAATAGTTCTAGTAGCGAAAGTGAAGTAGAATATTCTCCAGTGAAGCGTCAGTATATACGACGGTGTGTGCGCTCTGGTAGTGTGCCATATGCTATTCCAAGGGAAAGGAATACATCTCGGAGTACATCCCGTAGCTGTACAACAGGAACAGATAGTGAAAATGAAGATGATAGTGTTGCAATTGGGATGGAAAATGTGCATACATCTGTTGGTGGTTGTGGCGGTACCAGCAGTGGGCCATGCTGCCACCCACGCTGCTGCCTCAGCTGAACTAAAACAAAGGCCACCATTCCCCACCCACCCACCACACCAGCCTCCACAACCACAACCTCCACAACCACAACCTCCACAACCACAACCACCTGTCAATATCCAGTACCCACCAGCAGACTGCACCTGGGATTGGCAGGATGCTGCCAATTTTGTTCCCAGTGCCCATCACTTTGATGAAAGTCAAAGTGGGATATGGCCATCTTGTACACTTGGGAACAATGCCACTGAACTGTAATGTTTTGAGTTATTCTTTGACGAACCCCTGATGGAAATTATTGTCAGGGAAAGCAACAGAAACTTCGATTATACCATGGCAAACCCAATACTTTCACCAAACTCACGCCTACACCAGTGGAAGGAGACAACTGTGGCTGAGATGTATCTTTTGTTTGCCACAATAATGCTTATGCCACATGTGTATAAGCACAGTGTCAAATCATACTGGTTGACAGACCGCCTGATTGCAACCCCAGATTTCAGTGATATAATAGGAGCGAATCGATTTGTGCTACTATTACGTATGCTTCACTTCTCAGACAAAACCAGGCCTGACAGAAATGACAGGTTATTTAGGATTAGGAATGTGTTTGTGTTTCTGAAACAGAAATTCAATATGTATTTTTATCCCTTCAGGAAGCTTGTTATTGATGAGTCTTTGATTCTGCTCAAAGGAAGACTCTCATTCAAGCAGTACATACCAATGATGGAACCATATCTTGGATAAGGGGCATATATTATATACTGATAACTGGTACACAAGCCCATTACTCAGTGATTTCTTGTGAGTGAACATGACAGATGTGTGTGGCACAGTGCGTGCAAATCATAAACATATGCCCAGGTTCGACGCTGGCACTCGTAAAGGTGAGGTGCAGGCGTTTGCTGCCAATGACAACATGGCATTTTGGTGGCATGACAAATGAGATGTCACACTGTTGTCATCAGTTCACCTAATGAAATGGCAGACACTGGCAGGCAGCATAGAGAGAGCAATGTATCCATTCTAAAACCTGCAGCTGTGATTGACTACACCCTCAGTATGCATTCAGTGGACAAATGTGACATGCAGATTAGGTTTGCTGATTGTGTTCACAAGAGTTATAAGTGGTATATAAAACTCTTTTTCCATATTCTGGACATTTCCATGCTCAATGCTTATAATATGTATAAGATGAGGACCAGAAACAAACTACCATATGGCGAATTTTGTCTGTCTGTCATCAGACAAATAATAATCAAGTACCAAGGAACAACAGCTGCAATAGAAAACCACCCACGAAATTATCAACAACTACCTTCTCATCTGAAGCATGGTGATCATTTCCTAACAAAACTACCTGCTTCTGCTTTCAAGAAAAAGGCTCAGAAGAGGTGTTACGTCTGTGCACATACAAAAAAAAATGCCCACAACAACGCAGAGACATTCGTTTTATGTGTGAGGAGTGTAAAACACCACTGTGCATGATGCCATGTTTCAAAGACTTCCACAGGCTGCAGAACTTCTAGAAACATGTCCTGTGACTGTATGTGTATATAAAATATAAAAAAATAGTAATAAACAACATTTTATATTGTTCATTTCTGTAAACAAGTTTTGTAAACAATATAGTGACAGCAGTGTTTGTGCAGTTATTATGTAGTATAGAAAGAGAAAACTTACAAAATAGTGTTCATATTGGTCTCAGAGGCCATAAAAGTTACTTGAAAAAAAATATTAAAAAATAATAGAAAAAAAAAAAAAAGATTACTGGTTGACCGGCAGTTGGCGATCTTGCTGTATGCTGTTCACTTTGTCAACTTCACACCTCCATATCTTGGTAAGTATTGATGGCAAAACAAATTTTTTTAGCCTATAAAGTTTAGAAAAAAAAAAACTTTTCATGAGTTTTTTTTTTTTTTTTTTTCTTCAAATATTTTCCGACCCTGAGAACAGGTTTGGAAGAGGGCCTGCCAACCCTGAAAGGGTTAAGAAGCATCTTTCCATCATACATTGCTCAAGTTTCACTAAGATAGTCCAACAAACAACTGAGATCCAATTCCCTAGATCAAGAGTAAGAGCCCCTCTCCAGTCCAACAAACAACTGAGATCCAATTCCCTAGTTCAAGAGTAAGAGCCCCTCTCCAGTCCAACAAACAACTGAGATCCAATTCCCTAGTTCAAGAGTAAGAGCCCCTCTCCAGTCCAACAAACAACTGAGATCCAATTCCCTAGATCAAGAGTAAGAGCCCCCCTCCAGTCCAACAAACAATGAGATCCAATTCCCTAGTCAAGAGTAAGAGCCCCTCTCCAGTTCAAGAGATCCACCCTTTGGTAAGGCCCCCACTTGCCAATTCTAGAAAGATGTGCCCCTTCAGTGTCAGGAAAGGCCATATTAAATTTCGACCTGAGCGACTGCTTGTATCTTGAAAAATTCCCATTTTGGGGCACTCATAAGTAGAGGTTCCACTGTATTTAGTGTTTACTTAAGTGGCTGCCTCCCACCAAGGCAATGTGATCTCCCTTCTCTCTCAAAAAAAAAAAAAAAAAAAAAAAAAAGTCACCATTATTCATTTAATGGCTGTCTTGCCATCATAGTTCGGTTTACTCTTTGACTGAGGAGGAGGTTGGAATAAATGGAAACCATGTTTTCTTTTTATCTGGATGTCTTCATCTGTGTGGAAAGAAAAGTATTCATAACTATACCAGGCTAATATATTTTGCCAGTGAATATGTTCCATTTGTCTTGGGGGGGGGGGGGGAGCTTCCTTCCCACCTCCCTCAGAGTGAGAAACAGGATCATGGTTATTATTTTTCTGTGGCTGACTGTATAAGCAAGATCTTTTACTTCTCTTTAACCAAGGAAATTGAGCTGTTCTCTTCCATGTAAATAAAATAATTTTGTCTCTGAAGGAGGGCTCCTTGATGCTAGTGATGGACTCTTGATCCAAGGAATTGGACCTGACCCCTTCATTTGATCAAACCTGATATTTTATTCCCCCCCTCCCTCCACGTGTTTTTTATGACCCCTTTGGGTTTAGCATTCCTATGTGTGAAAGTAATAATAATCCGCTCATATAAACCTCTTTTATGGTGCAAATTTTTGTAAATTCAATTGAAAAAGTACATACAAAATTGATTAGTGAATGGAAAAATCTTTATAGTACTGTATGTACTATAAAAGAATCACACTATATTGAGGAGCTTAATAAAAGAAGTGGTTGTAATACATTTTATACTGCTTTTTTTTTTTCGACGAACCGGCCATATCCCACCGAGGCAGGGTGGCTCAAAAAGAAAAAATGAAAGTTTCTCATATTTTATACTGTTCATTATTAATATTACTTCAGTTGGTATAGGCATATCAGTATAAACACGTCATTTTAACCTTAGATATGTATACTTCTTGAAATTGTCATCTCTTACACCTGAGTATGCTGTACCTGGCGAAGGAAAATATTGAAATATAATCATACCGATCAGAATTTATTATTTGTATTGTGATGCTTATCACAGTTTTATTTCATGACTCACACCCATGAATATCTTAATAGGGTTAAACAGCTCATATGTACACTATATCTAATACTCTTAATACATTGCTCGTCCTCAGGTTTGTGGATCCTTGCACAAGAAAAAGTGTACAAGTGCGGGTAGTGCTGCAGGTTGCTGTTAAACCAGGATCTTATAAAGTTGGATCTCCTTCTGTCCCTTGGACACCTCATCACCATGACCCAAACACTCACTCCTCTCCTGACTCCCATCTCCAACCAGATAGTATTGAGTGGGTCACCAAGGAGCGAGGTGCTACACAGCTTCTAGCATTATTAATTAGAATCGAAGAGAAATAAATAACCACATATACAGGACTCGTAATTTATCAGTTGCTTTCATTGTTACATTCTCTGTGAAAATCTAATATGAATTCTGCCTCCCTCCAAATATATAAATTTTTGTTTATTGATTTTTCAGAAGGAATCCTAAAGGTGCAAGTTTCATATTGTATAATAAATGCATAATGAGAAAATTATAAAATTTTGTTGTGGAAAGAAATAACCTTTCTGAGAATGTAGTAATCAAGTTGAAGCACTGAAGCACTATAAGGTAAGATAATTATTTTGAAAAATTGTGCTCTACTGTGTCCATTTATAATGTTGGAAAATTTCATTTCCCTAGCATGTGTTTCAAGAAATTTGAGAACCAGTGGAAGAAAAAGACTGCACATGTTTGATGTGTAAGCATCTTGAAGTTGGCAAATGTTTTCAGATGTGAATACAAATCACTATGCAGTTGACCCAAGAAAAGCAAATTAAGCTTTCCGGTGAATACTTTTTAATATAATTTCATATTAGAAGTTCTAGCAATATTTATTGTAAATATTAATAAAAAAGGGAAAAATGCCTAGGACTACAACCAGAAGAATTTATATAATGTACAGTAATAAAAGCGTGATTTGATACATGCATCTGTCCTGTTGGTGTGAGATTCTAGTACTGTTTAGGACAGCTGTAGGCAGGCAAGTGCGAATCTAACACCAGCTCTTCTGTATGCAGTAATCTTTGAAACCATCTTCTATCATTCTATGTAATGTTTATTTAGTTCCCTTGGACTCAAATAATCTAGTCTTGACAAACTGTGTTTATGTATCCACTTCTGTTACTACAGAGAAGTTTTACAAATTTTAATTTTAAAATCATGCAGGTGATGAAAGTTGTGCTGTAGGAGTTTAGCTTTGAAGATTAAGTAAACCACGAAGCATTTAGATGAATGCATACGATAGTGTATAAGGAAAGTCATAATGCAAAACTCACTGTACTGATTTCCGTTTTTTTGTGCATGTGCCATAGTATGCATGGGAAGAAGAGCTTTAATATTGTTTTTGATATTAATAGCACTTTTTACAAAAACTAACATAGGCCGGAAAATGAGATCGTTCAATTTCAAGGCATACCACAGAGTATTGATATTCTCACTATGGGCATCAGTTCTTCAAACTACTACTCTTAATTGTGAACCAGATAATTTTTTGTCATCCCTGCATGATTTATGGTATGATTTATTAGTCTGTGAGGCTAATGTATGGGCAAGATTATCGAGAGAATTTTAATAAATACAGTAATCCTTGCTTCCTCTCCTCCAGTAGGTAATAAGACAGAAAGAGATCTCCCCTTTTTAATAACCTTAATTGTAGATGTGGTGGTATTACTCTTTTATCTTAATTCTTTTTGAAAGTACAGTATATTCATGTGCAAACAGAGATTTAGGAGACATTCCAGGAAGGTAAGATAAGAAGATGCAAAGATTTTTAATGCTAGGAACTTGAGCCTCCAGCGAGCATGTGTGAGTATGTTAGATCAGAGTGAGCGAGTGAAAGATTAAGTGCTTTTTAGATTTGACACAGTTGAGAGGAGCAAGGTATATATTATGAAGAGATTCATAGAAATCAGTTATCCAGACCTCAGAATTCTAGAGATATGAAGTTACCCAGTCCCTGCATATATGAATGAGTAGGGGATGGGAACCTCTGTGCATCATTGAGTAGTGTTGCTTTATGTCTCTTCTTTGAAGGGATAGCTAGAGAATTAGTGGTCGGCAAGGTGGTCAAGTGTTATGTTTCATAATCTTGCTTATGAGGAGAATTTCTTAAGGTTTTCTCAAACCAATTCTATATAAGGAAGTTCATTGAATTTAATGTGAATTCCATACACTGACATTGCCCTAGATGTGGATACTGGATGTAATGATTATACTATGACACAAAGCTAATGCCTCAACCTACATTCCTCCCCCTTTCTGACAGGAGACCTTCACTGTTACATTATAATAATAATAAAAATAATATAAAATTAATATCTTTATTTTATTAAATTCATTACATGGCCTATCAGGCCTAGCTGGCATCAATGACATACTACTCTTAGTAAGCCCCTGCTATGTTAAGCTTTTCGAGCAAATTAGGTCAGTTTTGTCCCAGGAGGATGCATCCGAAACCAGTCTGACATATCACCCAGTTACCCATTTTAAACTGATGGGTGAAACAAGGGACAGCAGGTGTCCTATGAAACACTTGCTTAATGTTTTCAGTCATGAAGGAGGAGATTCGAACTCCAGACCTCAGGTATGTGAGCTCGAGTGCAATTGGTGATTTGTGGCATAACGAGAGGCGCTGCTTACTTTTCTTGATTGGATCAGAAAATAATCCTTGACTAAGTAACAGGATTCAATTTTCTACCATATGGTATCTCATGGGGAGCAAAAACAGGGTATGTGGAAACTATAGCAAAAAAAAAAACAAGTAAAAAAAAACAAGCAAGAAAGAGATGAACACTTTTATGAAGATTTTATATACAGTGATTTAAAACTTCTAGAATTTAAAATGACAATGTAGTAAAAACACCAGACATATCGTAACTGAAAAACATCAGGAATCTCTGGGTAGAGCATAGTTGAAGAGGGGAGGAAAGTAGGAGAAGGATTTTGCCTTCAGTGTGTATGAAGAATTGGTGGTTACAATAATTAAAATACAGAACACAAAGCTGAAAGATATCCACAAGAAATATAAAAATAAAATTGTAAAGGCATAATACACTTTTTTTAACAATTGGATACATCAGCCATGTGTTGCTGTCATTATTTAAATCCCATACACTATTGTTACCAGTACAAGGGAGAGAAGAATTTGACAAATAAAGGACTGCATAATATGAAAAGCAACTGTGAAAAGACTAGAATCATTATGGAGGATTTTGACTGCTGTACAAAGAATTAGATTGGGTAGAATGCAAGACGAACTTGAAATATGTACGTGTAGAGGCTGTACAGCATCAGCAGAATGGGATGCAAAAGATTTGATCTGAGGAATGAGAGTGCTGTTCTGGTGATTTGAGATCAAGAGTGATTAGTTGGCCATTTGCTCAATGTAATGACGGGTTTCTCCCCCCTTATGTATAGGAACATTAAAGAGGCAACATATAAGAGAGATGGGAACACTGTCAACACCAAGCCTAGTATTCAGTATATAAATTAGGACTTTCAGCAATCTCCCTGATCCCATGGTGCTTCACACTTGATGATAATTGTTCCATCATCAGGTGCAAAGAAATCATCTACTGGGCCCCTGGGTATTTTGGGCTTCTACACAATGAATTTGCAGACTCTGTAAGATTGCATGCACTGTATTAACCCTTTGACTGTTTTGGTCATATATATATACGTCTTACGAGCCACCATTTTTGATGTATATATACTCATAAATTCTAGTAGTTTCAAATCAAGCAGGAGAAAGCTGATAGGCCCACATGTGAGAGAATGGGTCTGTGTGGTCAGTGTGCACCATATAAAAAAATCCTGCAGCAAGCAGTACATAATGAGAAAAAAAACTACGACCTTTTTTTTTTAATTAAAATGCCAACTTTGTGGTCTATTTTTGTATAGTATTTATGGTTGTAGTCTCGTTTTCCTGGTCCCATTTGATAGAATGGAAAACATATTATAGAATAGAAGTGATTTGATTGGTTTTACTATGAAAAGAACCTTGAAATGGAGCTCGAAGTAGGGGAAATGTTTGATTTTTGCTGATGTTCAAAAGTAAACAAATGTCATTTTCCAATAAATGTCCAAGTAGCCATTCTAATATGCAGTCATGAAAGGATTGACATTTATTTATTACAATTATTCAATATTGCAGTAGTTCGGCTAACAGTAAAGCATCTACTTTTTGTTGGAATAAAAATTGAATAATTAGAAAAGCATGAGTTAATACCAGAGGGCCTGGGAGACGTGATTGCTGATACGAAGAAGGAAAAATGTTATTTTATTATAGAGCCAGGAATGCGTAAATGGCAGTTTTTGTACTCAATTGATAGAAAAAATGAGTTCTAAAGAAAACAGCTATGGAGGCTTTGATTGGACTGGAATAATGGAATTTGCCGAAAATTAGGGCTCAAAGTGGAGCGAAATCGCGGATTTGTAAATATCGCTGAGGTCGCTAACTTTGCGAGAGAGTAATTCCGTCAGTTTTCCATCAAATTTCGTTCTTTTGGTGTCATTACAATCGGGAAAAGATTATCATTCCACAATTTTTTTTTTTTTTTTTTTTTTTTTTTTTTTTTTTTTTGAAATTTTGCGACACCAGGAGACACCTCAGGATTTGGGGTTGCGACAGTCAAGGGGTTAAATCCTGTGGGTTCAGGGCTTCCTATGGAAATGTAATAATCTGTGAGACTGCTTGCAAAGTTAGTAACCAACAAACCATTTTACAATTAAATATAGTGGATCCCCGGTTCGCGATGCTATCGGTATCCGATAAATCCAGTAACCGATGCATTATATCGCAGAAAATTTGCCTCGCTTCCCGATACAAAACCCGGTATGCGATGTGGTTCGTACAAGACGTGTCCATGTGTGGCCTGAACTGCCCCGTGTGTGCCAGTGTTTACAAGCCAGCCAGTGTGCACGCATCTAAGGATACATTCCATATTATCCATATTATCACTGTTTTTGGTGCCTGTTTTTGCAAAATAAGTCACCATGGGCCCCAAGAAAGCTCCTAGTGCCAACCCTTCGAGACCAAGGGTGCTAATGACTGTTGAAATGAAGAAAGAGATAATTGCGAAGTACGAAAGTGGAGTGCGTGTGTCGGAGCTGGTCAGGTTGTATAGTAAACCCCAATCAACCATCTCTACTATAGTGAGCAAGAAAACGGCAATCAAGGAAGCTGTTCTTGCAAAAGGCGAAACTGTGATTACGAAACAGCGACCGCAAGTGTTAGAAAATGTTGAGAGACTGTTATTGGTGTGGATAAATGAAAAACAGATAGCAGGAGATAGCATCTCTTAAGCAATCATTTGTGAAAAGGCTAGGCAGCTGCATGATGATTTGGTAAAAAAATTGCCTGCAACTAGTGGTGATGTGAGTGAATTTAAGGCCAGCAAAGGTTGGTTTGAAACATTTAAGAATCGTAGTGGCATACATAGTGTGATTAGGCATGGTGAGGCTGCCAGTTATGTTGTGTGACAGATGTCCAGTGACTCTCAAGCTGGTCCTAGTGGCATTAAAAGAAGAAGGGAAGTAACCCCGGAAAAGGACTTGCTACCTCAAGTCCTAATGGAGGGGATTCCCCTTCTAAATGCAAACACCATCCACACTCTCCCCTCCTCCCATCCCATCAATCATCACCAGATCTTCATTAAAGGTAAGTGTCAATTATTCTTTCGTTATTTATTGTTATTGTAATTACTATTCTATTGCATTAAACTTAATATTTCATGTGGTAAAAGTTTTTTTTTCATACTTTTGGGTGTCTTGCACGGATTAATTTGATTTCCATTATTTCTTATGGGGAAAATTGATTCGCTTTCCGATATTTTTGGTTTACGATGAGCTCTCAGGAACGGATTAGTATTGCGAACCTGGGGTCCACTGTACTGCAGTTTCTTACCTGGCTATCTTTCCTTCATAGTTGTCAGTTATGGGTAATGGTTCCTTAGAGATTGTTTGGGCCACATGAGACTGTTGGGTCTTGCTGATAATTAAACCTGTTTTAATTGACTTCTACTTAAAACCCACACAAGTTACCCCTCTGAAAGTCCCACCTGTAATGCAGACTATGATGGGATATATATACAAAATGGTGTAACTTTATATAATTAGAGTTTACTTTAATCCCTGTTTTAGATATTAATATATTCTTGACTAATGGTGCATTGATGAAATTCGGCTTTAACCCTTTCAGGGTCCAAGGCCCAAATCTGGAGTCACGCACCAGTGTCCAAATATAAAAAAAAAAAATTTGTTATTTTTTCTTATGAAATCGTAGAGAATCTTTTTGTGAAGGTAATAAAACAAAAAGTACGAAAATTGGTGGAAAATTGACGAAATTATGCTCTCGCCGAATTTTGATGTGTCAGCGATATTACGAATCGGCGATTTTGCCGACTTTGACTCCCATTTTAGGCCAATTACATTATTCCAATCAACCAAATTCTTAGCTAATTTCACTAGTATTACATCTATTCTATCGATTGAGCACAAGAAATCGCCAAGTTCAACTGTTTCAACTACAAAATAAAGTGATCGAAATTGTTTAATTTGGCCAATTATACACACAAGTTCAAAATATTCCAATTCAAATAGGTCCAGTAATAAACAATGTAGGCATTCCTGGCACTAAACTAACATTCTTGTTCATTAGTTATGTTTTGAGGCTTACAAATAAATTCCATTTTGATTTTTATTCACATAATGAATTTTATTCACACCAAAAAATAGAAGATTTACTGTTATGCAATACTGTAATAATTGTATAAATATCATCACCATATTTGTGAATGTATATTAGACCCTCCAGCTGACGTGTA